TTGACTTAGTACAGCTGCTCAAGAAATTTGATCCGGATACAAAGTCCTTCAAATTTGGCACCAAATCATTCAAGATCACAGGCAATGCAGTGACTCAGATTCTAGGACTGCCAAATGAAGGAAAATTTGTCAAACTTGTCAATGATAGGTACACTGCTACCTTCAGAATAAGACACTTTGGAGAAAAGGGAAAACCATCAAAAAACCAGGTAGAAGCAGAATTACTAAAGACAATTTCCTTGGCAAACCAACCGAAGAAAGAAAAGGCCAAGGCAGAGCAAAAGAAGAAAACGAACAAAGGAAAAGAAAGAAGAAGTTGACCACGACAAGGAGGTGGTCAGCCTAATATTGATTCACCTCTGCATGACATTCCTTTTTGCGAACGCTTCATCTACTTTGCATTGGAAATTATTTGAGCACTGTGTGAATCTAGACACACTTTCAAGCTATTCTTGGGCAAGAGTTGTTTCAGCCTACACTTTCAAGCTATTAGGGATAAGAAAAAAGGATGCAAATTTCGATCTACGGCAAGTTAGATATCTGGAAAATACTATGCAATTTTGAAACCAGTTAGATATCTGGGAAATAAAAAAGGTGCAACTTTTCTAGTGAAAAAAAAAAAAAAAAAACCAGTGTTTTTTAACCTTGTCTTGGACAAACTGAGATTGATGGTAGCTAAATCCGGCAGTGCTTTTCCCAGTTTGTACTTGTACTTCTAATACTGACCTAAAAACCAAAAAGAACAAACCCTACGAGTGTTTCCAAAACCAATACATTCACTATATTGTATGGATTCAGAAAAAGGATGCAAATTTTGAATTTCTACAAGTTCGAAATATGGAAAATAAGATTTAAAAAGATGCAATCTTTAAACCGATTAGATAGCCAACGAAGGAGCCAGTGTGTACCTTCTCTTTACCAACTTGACAGAGGGGTCGTGGCGGCTCCGGTGGCGCGAGCAACGACGTCTTTCTGAGGATTAGGTTTAGGGATTTTGTTTTGTCGAACAAATTCGGGGATTTGGAGAGGCAACAAAGTCGGGTAGGTTCGGATCGGGCGATGGACGATGGCCTGCCGGTTCTGAAGAGAAAAGAAGTCTCATTGTAGCCCAAAGCTTTATCTGGGCTTCTGACGTTTGACCACAATATTAATGTCAACGAGGCCCATATTATTTATTAAAAAAACAAATCAAAATTACTTGTGGACCACATCCACTTAGAATTAGAATTGATAATCCATTAGAAATATTGTACTCAGGTAATTTTAGAATTCGTTTAGGGGCACTCTTGTATTTATCTTAGGCAATTAAACACCTAGTGGGTTTAGAATTCTTTTTCTTTCCATTTTCCTTGTCGTCATACGCTTTCTCTGGGTTTAGAATTCTTTTTGTTTTCGTTTTCGTTTACCTAGCTAGCTGTGTATATATATTGCGGGGTAGGGCTAGCTACACAGTTGAGTACTTGTGTAGGCATTATTTTTGTAATTTCAACATGTCAACAACAACAACACCCATGTTGTTACCCGAAGAAATCTTGTTTGAAATCCTTGCAAGATTACCGGCGAAATCTCTTTTGCGCTACGCATGTGTGTGCAAATCTTGGAACACTTTGATTAGAAGCCCTGATTTCATAAGCGCCCATCTCCAAATCCAAGTGAAGAAAAATAATGCATGTGATTATCTACTCATCCCAACCAGCACAAAAAATTGCTTTTCAATCTGTTGTTCTAGTGGTGAAACATTTTCCAAGTGCTGGGATATAACGGTTCCTGATGCGCACGACTATTTTCTTTTCGTTAATGGTTCTTGCAATGGATTGTTTTGCCTCTCTGATGCTTGTCATAATTCTATATATCTATGGAATCCATCAATCAGAAAAATCAAGACACTTGTTCCCTTTCCAACAGATCCCTTTACCCATAGGGGCATTACCATGGCTCTCGGGTTCTGGTTTCATCGTGCTGAAAATGACTACAAGGTTGTGAGGGTGATGTGGTTTGCACACAAACGCAGAGGCAAAACAAGTAGTTTTGAGGTTGAGATTTACAGCCTTAGACTGAATGCTTGGAGAAGTATTAGTGCAATTCCCCCCGTTTCAATATTTAATGTCCGCCTTTCGTTAGACATATGTGCATGCTTGAATGAAGTTGTGTATTGGATGGCAATGGAGCGTAATTCCTTCTGTTTCATTCTTTCTTTTGATTTTGTCAGTGAGGAATTTAAAAGGATTATTCTACCTCATCAAATAGTGCTACCCCCACAG